TCCCTTACTGCTTTTTTTCAATGTACTGTTTTAAACACCCGTACATAGAAGACTTTACTATAATGCTCTCTACTTGCTATCTTAGTATTAGGTGATACTGACTGACCAATGAGAAAAAGAATGTGGTCATCATCTCGGTTAAGATAATCTATTGACAAAGTGCACTGAGGAATTTTCAATAGATTAACCTTTTAGACAAAATGACCAATCAGAAGTCGTTCAAAAATTTTTTTTTGAAGTACGAGATTCTACAATATGCACCGAAAAAGTTTTGTCTAACAAGGCAAGTCTATATTCTTTTTCAAACACAGTTTTCTGCTGAGATTGTTTTCATCGGGTCGGGTCGGGTTCGGATTAAGTTGTTGTCGGGTCGGGTCGGGTTCAGGTTAGGCTTTCTTAACCCGTGCAGATCTCTATTCGACACTTGTTTACACTATCTCAACAATAATTTTATTCGGTCACTATGAAAAGGCTGAATGTTTGATTGTTCGTGTACACATAAGTTGTGCAAGAGAAAAAAAGAGATCATCAATAGAAAAAAATAATCTGTAGAAATCGTTCGAATACATTTGAGCAAACTTTAGTTAAAAACACAAAAGTGATATAAAACTAAAGACAACGAAAAAACAGAATGTTATTGAACTAAGATATGAAATAGCGAATAGTAGATGTTCAAAATAGAGATTGAATCTTGTCAAAAAGTCCACATATGATTAGTAAACGTAATAAAATGACAGCAAAAAATTGACTCTAAAATGACTTCAGATGAAATCAGATAAACACGAATGTTTCTGTTCATTTTCTTTTATGTTGATAAGTTATTGTTTGATAGATGTTCAAACTGATCAGCTGTTTTTTGAAAAAATATACTTATCCGTTGTAAAAGATCAACGCTTAAACTCGTCTTATATTTGAGAACTGTTTTAAGATTTTTATTAGAATGATCTGCTTGTTTCGATATTAAATAGTCATGTAATTTTTTATTTGATGTCAATTTATGAAGTATGGGATCATTTGGTAATGAAAGTTGTGTGAGAATATGAATAACAACAAATAATAATAGAATCGCTTCTTTTTCACCAGCAAATGGCCGAAGAAAGGCATACATTTTTGCTAATATTTCAATAGCACCACATTGTATCTTTAAGAAAAGAAATAAATGATGTTTATAATAGATGAAGAAAATTTCTTTTATTACTTTTGTCAGTTTTGGTAGTACAATTAAGGGTAAACTGCAATGTTGCTTGTCGAAAATTTGAAATTCTTCTTTTCGTAGAATTGGTTCCTGGATATTGATAAAAACAAAATATATTCTTTGTTTAATATTTGTCGAGCTACTTACCTTCAAAGAACGTAGCCAAGACCACATGATAGCTCCAATAATAGTTGGATCCTTTTCTTCAAATATTTCATCGATTCCGTTATTTGTCTTGTTAATTCTATGCTAAATAATTAATGAAAGAAAAACATCACATTAATACGTTATTTACTTTGACACACACTTTCCAGTTTTGAATTTTCTGTTTTTGATCCGATGGTAATAGATGTTCTGCTGTTGATAAAATAAGTCCATTAATGACATCGTGTGCTGATACAAAATTATCATTCGATAATCGTTCTCTCTCATATAAAAATGATGGTACAAAATCCAACCATGTGGCCTTTTCTAAATCTGTTAAAATTTTAAGATTTTCTTTAACGAACAATGGTTTAGTGCCGTAACGTTGATTTACTGTCACTAAAATTGTATCGATTATATAGCCTGTACATAATTCTACCAATCGTGCACAACAAACAAAAATAATCTACAACATATTATTTACATGTTCTGACAAAAAATCTATAAAATGTTAGTCTACCCTTGGGATATGACGAAATATTAGTGCATCGCGACCATGAAGAAATACTTGCTGATTTTTAAGATGAACTTCAAATGACAATGTTTCTGTAACATCGGCGCTAAAAAACTTCATTTAAAATTAAAATAAAGCATTTGATAGTGAAATTCATACTGATCTTGTACCATTCTGTAAACACGCGCCGTTTTGATATTATAAATCGTTCAAGCTCTTCGACAACTTGAAACAAATGAGAAAACATTTGAGAACTGATTGATGCATCAGATGTTTACTTTCTATTTGTTTTGACATTTGAACACTTCCCGGACGTTTTGCCCTTATATAGTGAACTGATTCGTGAGCAGTCATACGATGTTCATACACCAAATAACTACAAATAACAAATCCTGTTCGTCCTAGTCCTGCATGACAATGGACGGCAACCTTAAAAAAATGACACGCAAAATGTAAAACTTCCATAGGCTTTTCCAGACGAAACAAAAGAGTTATCTCAATAGAATCGTTCTCACTATCAAAGTGCGTATATCAATCTCCTATCGAAACCAAAAAGCACTGGTTGTGGATGTTTTCCGAACAGCTTTCGAACGCAACAAGATCGAAATATGCGACCTTCGTTAGTGTGTAGCCAAGATCTGCCCACATGATTCTATGGGGAAATAAAGGCAAAAATACCATCTGCAGGTGGTGTACTTGACAAGTCTTGGAAAGAGTAGATTACCACAGATTAATGTCACATAGCGATTTCTATATCTGAAATATGCAAATGATAGCCTATGGTGCCCTTTATAAAATCGAGAAAGAAAGGGGTCTCCATCTGTCATGGTTAGGGGGGAACCAGATTTTAGTTGGAGCAGTGAAACTAGCTGAAGCTTCCGTTGGAGAACCTCCAAAAGATATGGAAACATACGTTTTTGACCATGCTCTATCATGTGGCAATGTATGTTTTTAGAAGAAAATTCGAGAGTTTGGTAAAAACCTATAGTAAGTCAAATAACCTAGTTTTCATCCACTTGTAAAATTCAACCACTTTCGAACAGACGTCTATATTATCGCCTTCTCTATTTTTATAAAATTTTCTATCATAAAAGTCCTCTCTCCTCTTTTGATCTAATTTCACAGTCAACAACGCGTCAAAGTTCTCGATTAGGCCATGATAGTCGCGTGTTTGTTCCTCGTTTAATGTCAAAATCTGCATCTAGCTCTTTTCTTCCGCGAACCTCAAAAGATTGGAATGAAC